TGTCTTTCGAAAAAAAAGGACAATAATAAGAGTTATTCCCCTTACATCGTAGGAATTTTGAGTACAGTTTTGAGCTATTTTTGGATGGCATTTCAAGCGTTTCTGCCATACTGAATGTTTACAAAATGGACCGCTTTGGCAGACGCACTAGCAAATATATATATAAAAAAATAGTCAAGCATCAAAGATCTGAAAGGCTAACTAAATGACAGCTAAGTGCTTCATAGATTATTTATTGGAAAAGAAACAAAACACAGAGTTTGAATCGTTCAATACACAACAATTAGATTAGAGTTTATCCCATTTGTATCTGGCTGAAAGGAAAACTGATGGGACTCATTAGAAAACTACCAGTCTGTTTATGTATGAAAAGGGTCATCGATGTGATAAATTGGCCCTCGCCCCAATATCTTTTACTGAACCTCTATGGTTATCCGATGGTAGATATGCCAGTTAGAGGTTAGGGTGTCAGAGAGGTAATCCGATGGTAGATATACAAGTTAGAGGTTAGTGTGTCAGAGAGGTAATCCGATGGTAGATATACCATTTAGAGGTTAGGGTGTTAGAGAGGTAATCCGGTGGTAGATATACAAGTTAGAGGTTAGGGTGACAAAAAGGCAATACGATGGTAGATATACCAGTTAGAGGTTTGGGTGTCAGGTACGTAATCCGGTTTTAGATATGACAGTTAGAGGTTAGGATGTTAGAGAGGCAATCCGATGGTAGGTATATCAGTTAGAGGTTAGGGTGTCAGAGAGGTAATCCGATGGTAGATATACAAGTTAGAGGTTAGTGTGTCAGAGAGGTAATCCGATGGTAGATATACCAGTTAGAGGTTAGGGTGTTAGAGAGGTAATCCGGTGGTAGATATACAAGTTAGAGGTTAGGGTGACAAACAGGCAATCCGATGGTAGATATACCAGTTAGAGGTTTGGGTGTCAGGTACGTAATCCGGTTTTAGATATGACAGTTAGAGGTTAGGATGTTAGAGAGGCAATCCGATGGTAGGTATATCAGTTAGAGGTTAGGGTGTCAGAGAGGTAATCCGATGGTAGATATACAAGTTAGAGGTTAGGGTGTCAGAGAGGTAATCCGATGGTAGATATACCAGTTAGAGGTTAGGGTGTTAGAGAGGTAATCCGGTGGTAGATATACAAGTTAGAGGTTAGGGTGACAAACAGGCAATCCGATGGTAGATATACCAGTTAGAGGTTTGGGTGTCAGGTACGTAATCCGGTTTTAGATATGACAGTTAGAGGTTAGGATGTTAGAGAGGCAATCCGATGGTAGGTATATCAGTTAGAGGTTAGGGTGTCAGAGAGGTAATCCGATGGTAGGTATACAGTTAGAGGTTAGGGTGTCAGAGATGTAATCCGGTAGGTATATCAGTTAGAGGTTAGGGTGTCAGAGAGGTAATCCGGTAGGTATATCAGTTAGAGGTTAGGGTGTCAGAGAGGTAATCCGATGGTAGGTATACAGTTAGAGGTTAGGGTGTCAGAGAGTTAATCCGATGGTAGGTATACAAGTTAGAGGTTAGGGTGACAAACAGGCAATCCGATGGTAGATATACCAGTTAGAGGTTTGGGTGTCAGGTACAAAATCCGGTTTTAGATATGACAGTTAGAGGTTAGGATGTTAGAGAGGCAATCCGATGGTAGGTACACCAGTTAGAGGTTTTAGGTGTCAGGTACGTAATCCGGATTTAGATATGACAGTTAGAGGTTAGGGTGTCAGAGAGGTAATCCGATGGTAGGTATAAAGTTAGAGGTTAGGGTGTCAGAGAGTTAATCCGATGGTAGGTATATCAGTTAGAGGTTAGGGTGTCAGAGAGGTAATCCGATGGTAGGTATACCAGTTAGAGAATAGGGTGTCAGAGAGGTAATCCGGTGGTAGGCATACCAGTTAGAGGTTAGGGTGTTAGAGAGGTAATCCGTTGGTAGGTATACCATTTAGAGGTTAGGGTGTCAAAGAGGCAATCCGATGGTAGATATACCAGTTAGAGGTTAGGGTGTTAGAGAGGTAATCCGGTGGTAGATATACCAGTTAGAGAATAGGGTGTCAGAGAGATAATCCGGTGGTAGGCATACCAGTTAGAGGTTTGGGTGTCAGGTACGTAATCCGGTTTTTGATATGACAGTTAGAGGTTAGGATGTTAGAGAGGCAATCCGATGGTAGGTATACCAGTTAGAGGTTTGGGTGTCAGGTACGTAATCCGGTTTTAGATATGACAGTTAGAGGTTAGGGTGTCAGAGAGGTAATCCGATGGTAGGTATACAGTTAGAGGTTAGGGTGTCAGAGAGTTAATCCGATGGTAGGTATACAAGTTAGAGGTTAGGGTGACAAACAGGCAATCCGATGGTAGATATACCAGTTAGAGGTTTGGGTGTCAGGTACAAAATCCGGTTTTAGATATGACAGTTAGAGGTTAGGATGTTAGAGAGGCAATCCGATGGTAGGTACACCAGTTAGAGGTTTTGGGTGTCAGGTACGTAATCCGGTTTTAGATATGACATTTAGAGGTTAGGGTGTCAGAGAGGTAATCCGATGGTAGGTATAAAGTTAGAGGTTAGGGTGTCAGAGAGTTAATCCGATGGTAGGTATATCAGTTAGAGGTTAGGGTGTCAGAGAGGTAATCCGATGGTAGGTATACCAGTTAGAGAATAGGGTGTCAGAGAGGTAATCCGGTGGTAGGGATACCAGTTAGAGGTTAGGGTGTTAGAGAGGTAATCCGTTGGTAGGTATACCATTTAGAGGTTAGGGTGTCAAAGAGGCAATCCGATGGTAGATATACCAGTTAGAGGTTAGGGTGTTAGAGAGGTAATCTAATCCGGTGGTAGATATACCAGTTAGAGAATAGGGTGTCAGAGAGGTAATCCGGTGGTAGGCATACCAGTTAGAGGTTTGGGTGTCAGGTACGTAATCCGGTTTTTGATATGACAGTTAGAGGTTAGGATGTTAGAGAGGCAATCCGATGGTAGGTATACCAGTTAGAGGTTTGGGTGTCAGGTACGTAATCCGGTTTTAGATATGACAGTTAGAGGTTAGGGTGTCAGAGAGGTATTCCGATAGTAGGTATAAAGTTAGAGGTTAGGGTGTCAGAGAGTTAATCCGATGGTAGGTATATCAGTTAAAGGTTAGGGTGTCAGAGTGGTAATCCGATGGTAGGTATACCAGTTAGAGGTTAGGGTGTCAGAGAGGTAATCCGGTGGTAGGTATACCAGTTAGAGGTTAGGGTGTTAGAGAGGTAATCCGTTGGTAGGTATACCATTTAGAGGTTAGGGTGTCAGAGAGGTAATCCGATGGTAGGTATACTAGTTAGAGGTTAGGGTGTCCGAGAGGTAATCCGATGGTAGGTATACCAGTTAGAGGTTAGGGTGTCAGAGAGTTAATCCGATGGTAGGTATACCAGTTAGAGGTTAGGGTGTCAGAGAGTTAATCCGATGGTAGGTATACCAGTTTAAGCATGCATATTGAATATTTTGCAGAAAATGTATGTCTTTTTTTTCTGTCATTGGTAAAATTAAACCAAGAAAATTGTGGTTTATACAGGAGAAGGGTCTGTAAGATTCTAAATAATGTTATTTCCACTTGTATTTACTGTAAAATTATCAATTTTCGTGGTCTCCAATTTCATGATTTTCCTTAAAAATACATTTTCCTTTGTCATCAGATATCATCGATAAATTTGCAAAATCTCCAGGCAATACGTATTCCATGCTTTTTGCGGACAAACAGATTCATGGAGTAAATGTATCCAAGAAATCAACGAAAAACAACCCCAAAATAATGGTATCATGCCTAGTCTCTCCAAATATATACAAAATGTACAGAGAAAAGAGATGAAGGCATGATTAAGGCTATGGAGTCACGGGGTTAAGTGACACAGAATTCGGGTTGCAGTGTTAAGACAATTTCCGAATTGCTAAGTCAGTTAAAACCATATTGGTCAACCTCCGATCAATTCTTAAAGATTAGAGTATATAAAATGTAACGTGATTATCAGAATTTCACATTTTAGTTTTCAATTACATTTTGTCATGAGGAAAAACAATAAGTAACAAACCCACATGCAGAATTGTATGTCTCGTCCTATTCCCGCGAGAGTGAAAATTCTACTCATCTGGTAACTATTTATTTGCATAGCCAAAGTATTTAAAGCAATAGCAACATACGTGTTGCAAATTATATTCTGTTCAAACGTAAATTATTCTGTAAATTAACCAAAAACAAACTTTCCTGCATCGCTAAATTTAGTCGTATTTTGTCGTTATCAAATATAGATTGGCAACGATCGCATCACACCATGGTGTTATGTACGTTCTTATAAGGACGGTAATTCTTAAAAAAAACACTTACGTACAGAGTGTTTTTTGTTTAGGCATAACCACAAGTTAGAAAAAACTATACTCTTTTAAAGGCTTTGTCTTTGTATAACCAATTTACACATGCAAACTAAAGAGCTCATCTGATCTAAAGGGTGAAAATAACGTGTTTCGTCCGTCGTCGTGAGCTGCCTTGGCCGTCAGTTTAAAAACCACATGTTAAGGATTCTCTCTGCTATTTCTAATGGAGTCATTGAACTGAGAACAGGTGGGAAGAGAAGCCTACAGTTCTTTTTTCTGTCCACGTCAAAAGTTAAATATGGCTGCCATGGAGGCCATTTTGTAACATGATTGCGCAATCTTGGTTTCTGTGATAGCTGCCACGGAGGCCATTTTGTAACATGATTGCGCAATCATAGTTTCTCTGAGACAATATCTGTTTTAATTCCTTGACCACTAGGATAGAGCTAAAACTTACCTGCACTTAACCTGAAATGGTCCGAATTTAGTGTTGTAATATTTTGCATCTATCCGAAATCCAATATGGCTGTTTTTGCCGTCATCTTGACAGAACACATTTTAATTTTTATATCTATATTAAGTTTTTTTTATGATATATGAGTTGGCAATTTTTTACTACGAAATTGCCTTGATAATATTTTGTATCTGACATTTTAGATCTCATATCTACCGAAGCAAAAACTGTAACATTCCCTCACGACGTAACCAGTGAGCCTTGTTTCTCGAGCGTACCCTCCGTCGTTCCTGTGGCAACCACTACCGCTCTTCCCGAGGTGACCACCACTGCTGTCCCTGTCGTATCCACTACCGCCATTTCCAGTTCATCCTCTTCAAGTACAGCGTCGTCTGTTTCAAGTGTTTTGGAGACTAGCATGATGACCACGACTGCAGAAACGTCATCATCACCCACGCCCCAACTTAGCAATACCATAACAACTGTGGATTTGACATCAAACGCCCAGAGTACCGGTAGGTGTACTCGCTTTTTCAGTATAAAGACCAATGAATGATATCTTTTTCACACATATACGGTAAAACTCTATCAGCCTTATTTAATGTAACCGCATGCAATGTTTTTAACAAAAGGTTGTCATTTTCAACGGGGTCTATCGCGGATGGAATGAAATTGCAAAGCATGGATACATTGATAATAAGATTTATAGAAAATATCACACTCCATTTCATGGTTTCCTTACTTTTGGTAATCGTATTCAAAGTCTCAATAGTACAAGTACATAATTCATCTAACTGCAGTTCAACGAACACGTGATTCTAATTCTTCTAAATGATAACTGGTGAACCCTTTTGAATTTGTTATTTTATTATTTGAAGTAATTTTTTTCTATATACTTAGTGTCCTGGAGATCAAATGCATGAATATATATCGAGAAAACACCATTTCACTTACGCTGATCTATACTTACACGAGTCATTGATGAATCAGAAGACGCTTACTCTAATGTAACACCTGGTCATATCCTATTTTGTACTTTATGATGGTCATGCCAATCTACCTTCTGTGTCACTTGTTCCGTTGTAGAATCCGTCACTAACCTGTACACTGGAACATCCAGTAGTTCCTGCTACCATTGTTTCTGCAACAGTAACCTGATGACGTCATTATCACCTGAGGAACTACAATCCCAAATAGAAAATCTTAAAAAAGAACTGACGGTCGAGAAGAAAGACCTGTCGTCATGGAAACGAAAACTAATAAGCATTCCAGATGAGCGGGTTTCAGCGAAGTCTCTCGGATACCTAGGTGCTGGGATGCTGGCAGTTGTGTTCGGTGCCGTTGTACTGATTGACCTTCCGAGGTTTATGAACGGATTGAAGGTATTCTACCATTCAGTGTGCAGCCACAAGAAGATAAACACCATCGAGTGATTTACCAAGAGTCTCCACCCCTGATAGGACATGCTGCTCCTTAACGTTTCCCCTGGCGTAAACATTGTGATAGGTCTTTTTCATTGCTTAATGCTTAATAATTGAGCTAAGTATGTGATATCATTCCAAGTACAGGGAAACGGAAGCAGGCGTTTTTGAAATCATCAAAAGTCGTTTGTACACAACAATATTTCTGTTGTTGATAACTTGGACAATTATATTGGTATGTAAGAATTTTAATGGAAAATTGTATTTACGATAGGTATTCTTATGACCAAAAATTGAACAAACCATCTACTCGCGGTTAAAACTGTAACTTTAAGCTTCTAATGCAGATTAAAGTGATGGAGCAGAGATCAGCAGCTGTCGTTGGAGAAATGTTGATCGCTACAACTAAATGACTGAAATTTTGATCGTGTTAAGTGCATGAGAAAAGTATTTATTGTTTTAACTAGACGAGAGATAAAGTATAATCGCTTAATCGACATGGCAGTACTTATAGTTCGGATGTGTTTGATCACTATAAATAGCTTGGAGGTGTGTTGATCACTATAAATAGTTTGGAGGGGTGTTGATTGCTATAAATAGTTTGGAGGGATGTTGATCGCTATAAATAGTTTGGAGGTGCGCTGATCGCTATAAATAGTTTGGAGGAGTGTTGATCGCTATAAATAGTTTGGAGGAGTGTTGATCGCTATAAATAGTTTTGAGGAGTGTTGATCGTCATAGATGAATAAGAGAAGTGTTGGGTGCCATCTATGGATTGGTGAGGTATTGCTCGCTATGAATAAATTAATGTTGATCGCTTTAAGTTGCAGTGAAGACAATGGTGATTCTGAAAATGTGTTCTGTACAACGACAGTTGATGTAGAGACTTCTTTGACCACAAACATATCAAGTTGGAAGATGTGTTGACCACAAGCTCTAAAACTTGTGTGAAACTCGGTCATGGCTGGAAGTTAAATGTCTGAATTGTAGTGTTGCTGACATGAAGGAATATTCTTTCTTTTTTGGAGATTAAGCCATACGTTAGCCTTCCGATATGTATAGCATACGTTGTTACGTTCTCATGAACATTTATCAAGACCATGAATGCCATACCACGACATGGTTATATTTACATGCTCCTCATGTTATTGTCACAGTCTTATTTTTAACTCTAATTATTTTTTTAAAAGATCATTTTAGATACTGATAGAAAAGCCACTTTGACAATGTTGCGTCGTCCACATTACCGACATCACAATAGTCACGCGCTTGGTGTCATTTATGATACCTTAAATCACACTTCTTTCAGGTTAGTTCATATAGTAACATTGCCATGTAAATGTAAATATTTGTAAAATTCATGCACGTATGTTTTTAATATTCATATCAATTTTAATGAAAACATAATAGCGTCATGCAATTATATATATATATATATATGTAAGCAACAATGTTTTGTGTACATTGCAATACAAAAAATACATACCTTTACATAATAGTTGGTAAAAGTGCAACTGCTAAATGAAAACGCAATAGTTTATACATCGAAGTTCTTACCAGAGTTTTCCGCTTCAACATAAGGATGGAATTGGTAAAAAAGTATACAGCAATTTTTTGTAAAAAATGGACAACAATTTGTACGTAGTAATTCATCTAAAATATGTAAATGATACATATAGCAATAATTGTATACAGTGGCATATTTGTATACCATATATACATATTTATATACCTATATTGTCAATATCAAATCAACAATCAACGTAATTAATATCAATATAAATATTCGTGTATATAGCTGGTGGTCAGTATTAATACCTACACGGAGTTATAGGAAATGTTTGTTACTAATAAATTTGTGAGGAATGTCATCGAGGAGGCATTTATGTGCTGCAAATCGGAACTATCAAGGAAAGCTTGTTTTATAACGTGCAATGTTATATATTGTGATCTTAATGAAACTAATGTACATACTGCATTAACAGTTATCATCCTTCATATTTTTATTCCCATTTAGAAACTTGTGAATGAAATAAGTGTAAGCGGTTTTATTCAACATGGTTGAAATCTCACTAGATGAACAATTCGGTTACTCTATACCGCTGAAACTTTGTAAATATCACTGAATGTGGATGCAAACTATCCGTCCCTAGAGGTTTTTTTCATAGTATATAGATATCATAACCGTCCTGGCTGTGATCGTTTATATTATATAGATATCATAACCATCCCGGCTGTGATACGTTTATATTATATAGATATCATAACCATCCTGGCTGTGATCGTTTATATTATATAGATATCATAACCATCCCGGCTGTGATACGTTTATATTATATAGATATCATAACCGTCCTGGCTGTGATCGTTTATATTATATAGATATCATAACCGTTCTGGCTGTGATCGTTTATATTATATAGATATCATAACCGTCCCACCTGTGATCGTTTATATTATATAGATATCATAACCATCCCAGCTGTGATCCGTTTATATTATATAGATATCATAACCATCCCAGCTGTGATCGTTTATATTATATAGATATCATAACCGTCCCACCTGTGATCGTTTATATTATACCGATATCATAAGCATCCCGGCTGTGATCCGTTTATATTATATAGATATCATAACCGTCCCGGCTGTGATCGTTTATATTATATAGATATCATAACCGTCCCACCTGTGATCGTTTATATTATATAGATATCATAACCATCCCAGCTGTGATCCGTTTATATTATATAGATATCATAACCGTCCCGGCTGTGATCGTTTATATTATATAGATATCATAACCATCCCAGCTGTGATCTGTTTATATTATACCGATATCATAACCGTCCCACCTGTGATCGTTTATATTATACCGATATCATAAGCATCCCGGCTGTGATTCGTTTATATTATATAGATATCATAACCATCCCGGCTGTGATCGTTTATATTATATAGATATCATAACCGTTCTGGCTGTGATCGTTTATATTATATAGATATCATAACCGTCCTGGCTGTGATCGTTTATATTATATAGATATCATAACCGTCCTGGCTGTGATCGTTTATATTATATAGATATCATAACCATCCCGGCTGTGATACGTTTATATTATATAGATATCATAACCATCCCACCTGTGATCGTTTATATTATATAGATATCATAACCATCCCAACTGTGATCGTTTATATTATATAGATATCATAACCATCCCGGCTGTGATCGTTTATATTATATAGATATCATAATCATCCCGGCTGTGATCCGTTTATATTATATAGATATCATAACCGTTCTGGCTGTGATCGTTTATATTATATAGATATCATAACCGTCCCACCTGTGATCGTTTATATTATATAGATATCATAACCATCCCGGCTGTGATCGTTTATATTATATAGATATCATAACCGTCCCGGCTGTGATCGTTTATATTATATAGATATCATAACCGTCCCACCTGTGATCGTTTATATTATATAGATATCATAAGCATCCCGGCTGTGATCCGTTTATATTATATAGATATCATAACCGTCCCACCTGTGATCGTTTATATTATATAGATATCATAACCATCCCAGCTGTGATCTGTTTATATTATACCGATATCATAAGCATCCCGGCTGTGATCCGTTTATATTATATAGATATCATAACCGTCTCGGCCGTGATCGTTTATATTATATAGATATCATAACCGTCTCGGCCGTGATCGTTTATATTATATAGATATCATAACCGTCTCGGCCGTGATCGTTTATATTATATAGATATTATAACCGTCCCGGCTGTGATACGTTTATATTATATAGATATCATAACCGTCCCACCTGTGATCGTTTATATTATATAGATATCATAACCATCCTAGCTGTGATCGTTTATTTTATATAGATATCATAACCATCCCGGCTGTGATCGTTTATATTATATAGATATCATAACCATCCCGGCTGTGATCGTTTATATTATATAGATATCATAACCATCCCGGCTGTGATCGTTTATATTATATAGATATCATAACCGTCTCGGCCGTGATCGTTTATATTATATAGATATCATAACCGCCCCGGCTGTGATCGTTTATATTATATAGATATCATAACCGTCCCACCTGTGATCGTTTATATTATATAGATATCATAAGCATCCCGGCTGTGATCCGTTTATATTATATAGATATCATAACCATCCCGGCTGTGATCGTTTATATTATATAGATATCATAACCGTCTCGGCCGTGATCGTTTATATTATATAGATATCATAACCGCCCCGGCTGTGATCGTTTATATTATATAGATATTATAACCGTCCCGGCTGTGATACGTTTATATTATATAGATATCATAACCGTCCCACCTGTGATCGTTTATATTATATAGATATCATAACCATCCTAGCTGTGATCGTTTATTTTATATAGATATCATTAAGTAACAAATCTCCGTCCGAATGGTCCTCTTTAATTATCTAGATATTTTTCTAATTGTGTAATCCTGTTATAAGACTTTCATAACATGTTGAATCACCGTCCACATACTTTCTGGTATTTTCTATAATGTTAAAGAGATCACAAGAAATGTCATATCTATGACATTTCTTACTATATACTTTGTTTTTTTTTTGTTTTTTTTTTATTACTAGAAAAAAATTATCGATATTCCGTTTGTATACCAGGCAGTGTCATTGTTGTTCTCATTTCAGAAAGCAAAATTACTTCCATAGACTGAACTAAGACAAAGAACTAGACTAATGTCGCCGATGAAGAATAATACGCTATCTCTTTCAGAAAGTCTGTCTTATATTCCTTGCTTTTTCAAGTATTGAATTATTTTTTAATGCTTAATCGTTTAATCAATTATGGATTTGATTCGCGATGTTATTAACATGTCGATATTTTTTAACCATTTTCTATCTGTATTATAGACACCATCACAGTTTATGACTAACTATGTATCATGCTTGTCCATAAAACTCTTTTAGTGAATTG